ATAGCGGAGGACACAGACTGAGCTGCTGCGGAAGATATACAAATTAGAATTTGTTCTAAACATGTGACAAGATTCATATTAAGGGCTTTAAAAAAAACTGGTAAGATATAGTATAGTTTATAGTTTCGTCAGATGCTCTGTCAGAAAGGCTGTGTGTGAGGCTGACAGAGACTCTACTTGAGCTGTTTAATGTGTTTGAGATGTGCTGTTTTCCTGAATGCATAATTTACATTTCACAGCTATATTCTCCATCTGTAAATGTTAGAAAGTCATGGAAATATTTCCATTTTGCTGTCAGGAGTGCATGAGCCTTCTTCGCTAATCTCCGCTGAACGTCACAGACTTCAGTGAACGAGCGCCAAACAGACAGAGTGCAATAATTCTGACTAAAATATATATATTTCGCTGAAATATTTGTAGTTGGACAATGTGACATGTAGAATTTTGTGTATGATAGCACTGACTGTAATGGGGTAATCAAAACAGCCTCATACAAATCTGTGCTTTTGTTCTTATTTGTTTTCATTTTTAGTTTAGTGAATTTAACTTCTGCTTTAAAAGCATTCTTTTTGTTTTTCGATTGTAATGTTACAATGTTAGAATGAAATATGATTTTGACTCTTTGTGCACATAATATATAGGCTTACATTGTTACATTCACTTTATTAGTTTTCATAGCCTTTAATATGTATTGTTGCGTTGGACAACATTGGACGGTATGTAAAATATATATTAAATACAGATTAAAAAAAAAATACAAAAAATCCAGATACAAAAACTAAAATACCAAGATATATACCGTACATCGCAAATCTGCCAAAAAATACCGAGATATGAATTTTTGACCATATCGCCCAACCCTACACTGAATAATTGAACACAGTTCAATTACAGCGGATATACTCATTTAATTAAACCACAGCCTTTGTGATGTGATAGTCATGTTGCAATTTCAGTTTTTAACTAAATCATGCAGCCTGAAATTATGAATTCTGTCTTCATACCGAATATCGCAAATTGGCCAAAAAATACCAAGATATGAATTTTTGCCCATATC